CTTTGAGCTGCTGACTGTACCATAGATATTTTCCACAATTGGTTTATTATATCCAGGTAATTCTAATACAGACTGAAATGTCCTTCATTCTCTCACTTCTCCATTTTTAATGTCTTTCTGTATTTTGTTTAGACTCATCTTTTAGAATGCATTATGTACTTTTTTTAGATCATTTTTGCAAAATAAAGTAAGCTGGAAGAGAGCAGCAGCAACATGCTCATGCTACTATAGATAAGTAGTCAGATTCAGCCCTGGTATCATTGAGACTACATGGTATAAATGCCAACATGTACAATGAATATCTTCTTCCACTTGTGTTACATTGACTTCATGAGGTCTTCTGTGCCTGAATATCAGACAGTGACAGTGTATGTGTTAACATGAAAGTGATACATAGAAAAAAGGATTGAACATTCTTCACTGAACTCAATAGAACGGAAAACAAAATCTGCGTTATGGTTGTGTCGGTCATAGATGACCTGCTGCCATGACCTTTTCCCAACAATTTTCACATTTGCTCCTGCCGAATGTGCATGTGTTAGCTTCAACTTGTGCAGCAATCAGTTATTTAACCTTTGCTGACAACATGTTATCCAATTTGTGATTTGAAAATATGAATACCAGCAAACAAGCTGTTAAGAGTCCATGAAAGTGCTCAGTGATTACATAACCAGGCTAAACATGCTTCTTACTGCTACTCCTAAGTCATTCCAGCTGCTCTCTCTCGCTCTCTCTCCCTACCTCTTGCTCTGTTTGTGTGTGTGTGTGTGTGTGTATTTGTGGTCTTGTTTATATATACTTATGGGGATGGAACACTGGTAGCACAATGTTTTGCAGGGACCAGAAGTCACTTGTGGGGATCCGATGCTGGGCCCCACATCTAATGTTATGGTAATGGTTAAGGTTAGGCAAGTAGCGGTTCTAGCTAAGGTTAGGGTACGTCTCCTGGAAATGAGTGTAAGTCTATATATGGATCCTGTAAGTGATGACTGCAAGGATGTGTGTGTGTGTCTTTGCTACACAATCAGCTGGTTGCAAGTCAGTGCCTGTCTTCTTTCCTAACAAAGGAAGCTTTGATGAGTCCATCAATAAATTTTAGGCATTCACAGCCAATCGGCACTTTGTTCATTAAACAGTGTAAATGATAGAAATGCTCATACACAGTGAAGATTTTAGGGACTATTTTCACTTAAAGCATGGTATCAAACAAGATGATAGTTCACCCAGCTTATGCAGTTGTTACAAAACTGAGGAACGTGAAAAACATAAAAGTCTTAAAACTATGAACACTCAAGATGAATTCATCCTTGTAAACTGCAAAGAAGAATTTCATCACTGCATGCAACAGTGGCAGAGCTTTTTATGAGAGACACTAAATGGGTATTCACTGTGTAATGACTATCACTGCTTCTAAGCTGCTGACTGTACCATAGATATTTTCCACAATTGGTTTATTATATCCAGGTAATTCTAATACAGACTGAAATGTTGTGCCAACTGGAGCTTATTGGCTCACAGAAATTATTTGATGGTCTTTCTCACTAAAACAAAATTGCATCTGACATCTTGTTTCTGGTTGTATAAGTGTATTCAGCAGCTTTCATTAGCCGGATGGCGAAGAGATTTGTACTCTTACCAAACAGCTGTTTTGATAGACCAGGCATGGCTGAGCATTTGTGATGGAGGAGAGAGAACGATAGGGATGTCTACAAAACCCCACTATTCTTTTTCATATTTTTTCCTTCCCTCATTCTTTCCTCCTCATATCTGCCCTAGCAGTAGAAGGAAAGGAGGAGGAGACAGAAGAAGGAAAGGGGATGGGGAGCAGGGATCTACAGGATATAAGGAGCCTCCACTTGCCTTTATCTCTTCATATCTGACTCATACTTCATTCACTGCTGGAGAAGCTCATAACACAGAGAAGCTATGAGAACCACAACTCTAGGGATGCTGTGTGCTCTGATGTGCGTGCTGGCTGCTTGTGCTGAAGTCACACCTGTTACAAACTTCAACCTACAGAGGGTAAGAGAAACAAGGAGAAGTATTACTGCCATAATCTGTTGATGTTGTCAGTGTCAGAAAGGAAGAGTTATTAGTGTTTGTAGCTGTTGAATGCAAAGACTTACTATCAAGAATATTTTATGTGAATGATGGGAGTTGTGTATTGTAATTTGCTCAGTATAATCTCTCCAGTTAGATGTGTTTATTTTTTTTAGAAATATATTTCATAGGTACTGTATTTCTTCCCCTTCATTCGTAGATTGCAGGCAAATGGTACCTCGTCGGCTTTGCTACCAATGCTCTGTGGTTTGTGAACCAGAAGGCAGGAATGAAGGTGGGCACTGCTGTGTTAGTGCCAACTGATGAAGGAAACCTGGATCTCTCTATTGCAAACCTGAAGTAAGTGATTAATATGATTCATATTTTCAAATGAAAGCATCCTGTAGCTTGTGAAAAATGATAAACACACCTGCTCCCCTGTTATCTTTTTTAGTGCTGATGGTACCTGCTGGAGAATGAAGTACATTGCTAACAAAACTGATACTCCTGGACAATTCATCTTCCACAGCCAGAGTGAATATATTCTACTCACACACACAAACATACAAGAGGGACACAAACACATGCTGAACTTTCCCCTGCCTGACCTGTGTTTTTCTGCTTTAATCAGTGTGGAACACTGACAATGAAATGCGCATTGCAGATGTCCTGTACAATAACTACGCTCTGGTCCACATCATCTCTACAAAGAATGGAATATCTGAGCTCCTCAGCAAGCTTTACAGTAAGTCTAAAGTGTTCATAGTATACTGGGAAAGCACTGTATGTTGAATTTAGCAATTTGCTAAAGATTAAAACAACGGATCCTGATTGCAGGTCGCACTCAAGAAACCAGTGTTGCACTGCAGCAGAGGTTCACACAGTTCTCTCTGGACACTGGCATCCTCCCCGAAAACATTGTGATCCTGCCTAAAAATGGTATGTTATTAATATTCAAAAATATGCACTTTATATAAAAATGCATTGCAACTGTTTCTGTTCAGATCTTTGCTCACAGACCTCCCTATTGTCTGCTGTTACAGCTGAGTGTCCTAAGCACTGAGATGTACTCTGCCAACCTCCATCTCACGCTGACTGACGTCCCAGGCTTTCATCTCACTCTTATTTTTCCCTCTTACTGTGATAATAATAATAATAGTTTATTTGTGATGTCTGCTGCATCACTAAGCTACACAATGAAAGTCAAGCATTTTATTCCTTTCTCTGTTGCATCAAACATCAATCTTGTTCCTAATATAGACCTCATTCTGTCAGAATCACACGTTTACTGTGGCAGAGTGGAACAATGAAGGGCTGATAGTGAGCCAAAGGGAAGGACTACATACAGTATGACTGAAACCATTTTGTTACCTGGTACTGTTATGACTGTGATTATATAGCATACATAACTGTTAATATGGTGCTATGACCATGAATATCTTCTTCCACTTGTGTGACATGTGCTTCATACTGTAAAGCCTTCTGTGTCTGAACATGTCTGCAAGACAATGTACGTGTTAACATAAAAGTGATGCATAGAAGAAGAGGTTTTAAAGATCAGACACTCTTTATTGAACTCAATAAAACCTGGATTATGGTTTTGTCTGTCAGAGGTGACAATCCATTATTATGTTTGTTAATGTTCAAACCACATATTGGGGGTAAGTGTACATGTTTATGTATGGTCTGAATAATATCATTATTTAAAAAAAGGAAAGAGTCATTTGCCTTTATGGGTTGATGTGTAACAAGTAGAAAGTGTTCTCGGAGGCTGCAGCAGGCTGAGTTCACTAGCTGTTCTAACGTCCCAGATAAAATGATGTGCAATTTGCACTTGTTTATGGGACGTTAACAATGACGTACAAAATCATTCATATATAACAAGATGCCATGGCAGCAGTTTGACCAAACAGACATACAGAAAGTGAATTCTCAATGAAAGCTGGCCGCTGGTTTCAGCTGTATCACAGTGTACTTTCAAATGCTATGGTAAGGAAATGAGGTAAAACAACATAACTTGTACATTTGGTGTTAGACAATGGTGGCACTGTTACAGTGAAGCTCTTTGTTGAGAAAACAGAAGCCTAGTCATTCTCAGCAGGCTGCTCGCAACCTTGACTCATGCTTTATCAAACATGCATGTTTGTGTGCATATGTGCGTCACAAAGGGTAGATGTAAACTTCATGTGTATTGTGCAGTTCTTCAGTGTAGCTGCTCCCTCTGCATAAAACCCCACAGCTTTAAGACGTCTATCCTTTGTACTGTAGGTAAAAATGATTTTCTTTTGTCACCAAAGCACTCTGAATTTAAAATCAAGGTTTCATTAAGATCCATGAGAACACAGAACCATTCAAACCAAGACATAAAATAAGTGAAAGCCTTTAAGTGGGAATTCATGTGGCAGCAGTGGAGTTGTTGTAGCCTGTAGTAAGCCTGTGTTAAGTAGTCCAGAGCAAGGTAACACCTTGAAGGCACAGTGGATTAATAAGCCAATTATCATTTTAACCTCATCCTAGGTGGTGAACAAATATTAGCTGTCAGTGATTTTTGTTTTATGCTGCTTCATCCACTAACTGCACAAAGGTTAATGTATCAGTTGAACTCATTGTCTAGCAAGTTTTCAATCTGTCTTTTCTGGCACTCATCCCCCCTCCCCCCAGTATGATAACGCCTATTTATCTGACCTACACATATACCCACAGATGCATGCATGCATTGTAAACAGTCCACAATGTCATTCTAAGATGTAACAATATACAAAGAAAATACCTTAACTCAAAGTAAAACATTTATTTCCAAAGATCTGAAGATGGGGCAAGCCTCATTCAAAATGCTGAGTAACGATCTACTAATTATGTGCACCTGGTGTGATATACCTGTGTGTGATTTGAGCCATTTTAAGAGGGCATACATGTGAGGGTGTGCTAACTTTTTCCTCAGTTGGAATAGGCATTTTTGTAGAATTACATTTACAGAAGATCTTGAAAAGACTTTTCTTCAGTTTTACTTGTTTAGTTGTATTACTTTAATCTCTCTGTATTGTTAAAATTGAGATTAAATAACCATATTAAAACATGTTACAAAATACACATGCTTTCAAAGGGTGTGCTAATTTTTTCACATGACTGTAAGTGTTTGGCAAATGACCTCTCAAGTCTGAATGAGTAAAGGCTCACGGTTTCACTGAAATGAAAAGGAAGCTGCCATGCTGAGCTCAAACCAACCGTGGAGTTTTATGACTTCCCATCATGCTCTGAGAATCCCCTCTGTGCCCTACCTCAGAAAGGACTGCCCCATACTGTCTAATGTCATTGGATTTAAACATAAAACTCTATATATCACACATATATAATGGACAGATTTATGATATCATTGTAATATAGATTTGAACATTCTCAATAGTTTTATGTATTGGACTCTGAATAAATCTAAGTATTTTACACAGTGAAATCTACCATCAGCTGGTATTCAGCTCTGCATTTCCATAATATCAGTGGGATGTTATCTGACAGATATGAATGTTAAGAGTCTGCTGCAACCAAAGCCTGATGAATAAAAAATGGTTTGGCATGTTGAATTTATCATTTTTGATAGAAGATTTTTGTTAAAAAATAAAACGCAACAGAGACTGGCGACAAATCTGTGCTATCACACAACCTGGTAAGTATAATTATTTGTCATATACAGTATTCAAAGGACTCCTGGAAACTCCCAAGCACGATACAAAGAAGGACACGCCAGCTAGTATATACATATACAGTCTCTTATAGCTGTGCTCCGCTGAATAACTGTTCATCTTCTCTTTCTAATACTCTGGATATATATAAAAAACAAACAAACAAACCAAAAATACTTTTGTACATGTCTTTCCCACATCCCGGCCCTTTTTGGGAGATTATTGTCCTCGTGAATGGCTGTTCTTCTATCTTTCCCACAACAACGGGTCATTGAATAAAGCCTCCTCCACCTCTGTGGCAACTAGTGGTCTAACGAATTGCATCGTCCTGCAAACTCCCATCACCGGCTGCTAGATGAACCACTCCTTCTTTGATTCGTCAATGGTTTCTGGGTTATCTGTTCCAATAATGGCTGTGTCCATTGACTCTCCAGCAGACTCCCCGCTGCCCTTGGCCTCGTTGGTGTGATAGGTGCCTTTGTGACGGAACATGTAGCGGATGAGGAACACCAGAGTGCATAGGATAGTGAAGATCACTACGGCGATGATACCTGCAGAGGACATAGATGTTATGCACACAAAAACAGGCAGGGTGTTATTTTCAATCACCACCATTACTTTGCTACTCAGTTGACAATACTTTGCTGCAACAATAACTTTTAATTCATAGCCATTGTATACCTCCAATGATGGCTGAGTCTCTGTTGACTCCATCAGGAATCACTCTCTCCTCATTAAAGGGGAACTCTGCATCTGGACACAGAGAGAAGAAAGCAAGCAAAAAGTTAGACCATAAATTCATACATAAAAACAAATTGCCTATAAAAATGTCCAAGATTCAACTGTTATCACAATAGTTACACAAGACTAATCTAAGCAGAGCAACACCAAACAGATGCTCAAAGTGCACCTCAATGTCAGGCAGTTACCAATATGTCATGGTACTGTTATGCACCAGTGTATAAATAGAACTCTTGATCAGAAAGTCAACTAGATGTCATGCATTTCATTAAAGATCAATGACACATTAAGAAATTAAAGACACCTGCTGCTTCTGCCTGTTAATGATAGTTCTCTGTCAGCATAAACCACCTCTTTGCTCTGACTATCCCTAAATGGACAAATGGTTTAAGTTTAAATGAGTGAAGAGAGCGATGAGGGGCTGAGATGGTTAATATATACGCACACACTCACAATAACCGATTCACCCTGGAATGAGCTGTCAGATATTTCTGATGCTGACTGCATAGATCTCTGGGGAAAATGAAAAGCAGCAGAGGACAGGAGGGCAATCAGGCTCATTATAGTCTGTCAGGTGGCTGGATTGTACCTCGCTATAATGTCAAGAATTCAGAAAGCGGAAGAGAGAGGGCCAATGAAGTAAAAACTTAAAATGAAAGAGCAGAAAGTTTTTGGGAACTGGGGACAAAATGCTGAAGAAAATCAATAAGAATAAATGCAATGATCATGAATGAAGGATGGATAAATTATAGATTAGATCTAGCTATAGAAAACACAGGAAAATAAATAACAATTCTTCCTGTGGAAGGATGATGGAGAGCTGTCTGTGAGTATGAACCTGACAATTATTATTAGTGATGAAGAAGTAGGACTCACAATAGCATTGTAAGAATATCTTGGGTAAACCTCACCTGTGTTGTCCAGATGCCAGGGATCTGTTGCAGCAGACATTGGTGGGATGGTGAGTGGTGATGCCCCACAGTTGGACTCCACCAATTTGCCCTGGTAAGACACCGGTGAGAGGGCTACGGGTTGTCTGTCCGACTGATTGGCTGTCGGTGTGGCCTGGGTTTGTGCGGCTATTCTCAGTGCAGACTTGAGGGGGGCGATTCCATTGAACTGCACCTGCGACAAACACCCAATGAAGCCTGGAGTGTTGTAACGCTCGATGCGGACGGGGTCTATGGATCCAATTTCTGCACAGAGACAGAGGTGGACAGAAGCTGGGATCATTGCATTATTTTAATGGATTCATCTAGTTATTTTTAATGACAGTGTTAAACAAGTCTAATGTGACATTGACCCATTTCTATTTAATTGATAGTGAGAAACCAGAGATTTTAAACACACACCAAAGCATCGATACTTATTATCTAAGTCACATAAAAAGGTGAACACACACAACACACATTCTCTGAATGATCAAAACATCTATCTCACCCTTAGTGAACAGCAAACACAATCCAAACTTACATTGAAGTATGGTTGGCTCAAATTTTGCTGCTGCATGTACACAACAGACCAATACTCTACAAGTCTCTAAAGCACCCAGTGAGAATGTGAAACAGGACACATGCGGAGTGGAGAGAGAAGGAGGGGAAAACAAAACAGAGGAGGAACCTACACTGACCCCTAATGTCAGTTTACAGGATGAAGAACACCCACACCTCTCTCTTCATGTCTCCTTCCCTGCTTCTCCTTTCCCCTATTCGTAGGATGATTTTAGTAGCATTAGTACCAGCATGACAGCTTCAGGGTGAGGTTGATAGTCCACAGATCTTGGTCGCAATCCGCCATCTTGTCTGCAGCCACGTGCCTCTCAAAAGAGAGGCAAACAAGATCAGGCTTTTGTAATGTTCCATGTTCACTCTGTTGTGGTTTCAGTCAACCAATAATGACTGACATAATTTGGAGGGTAAATTAATTACCTTGTAAATTAGTTTATACAAATTTATCTCAGCCTCAATGTCTGTTTTTCTCTTTCTCCTTTGATTTTCATCTCTTTATTTTTCATATAGCTTTACTACAGAGAATTACAGACACACTCTCATACATAAATCAGTGGCTGAACTGCAGCTGGCTCACTGAGCTCCATTTATAGTAGCTGGAGAGATGTCCCTGCTCAACCTGTGGATTCACAGGTTGAGCAGGGACATCTCTACAGACTACTGTAGTTTCCAGTGTTGACAAACATGATTTTGATAATGACTTTTACTGACTGTTATCTGGACCTGAAAACCAATACACTGGCAATTTATTTGTCCTCAGAGCAGATATAGTTCAAGGGCATTCATTAAAAATAATCTAAAACCCTTAAATCCAGTCAAAATTACTCACACCCATTATCCCAAATGCTTTTAAATAAACACACACACATTCCAGTTAGTCATCCCATGTTCATATTTTGCTGTACAGTTGTCCAAACTGTTTGTTCTGGTTGTGGTGCATTCATGCATGTAAGATGTAGGACCAGGCTTTCTTCATGTAATAGATGAAGATAGTTTTGCAGCTCTGCAAATGTGTCATTTGGCTGTTTTGAAATGAGTCCAGGTTTGTGCCGGACAGGAACCTGTCTGAGGATGTTTGTTTGATGTGGTGTTTGTCTTTACTGAATTGTAGGTGTTGGAAGATATTTTTTAATCATTATGTTTGGTGTCTGCAGTTACAGTATCTTAGGACAGGATTTATTCAATGACATAAGAAGACAATGTTAATGAATCATGTTACTGTATGTTAGATGGCAGGGTTCTGAGTATCTGGACATGGCTTATAATGCAATTCTCTCTCTTAATACCAATTTGATGGGCCCAATACAAATGTGTGTTTTCTACATTATTGATTGTAGTGCCAGGAATAGAGCTCAGCGCTATCTGAGACTTATACTGTATGTATTATTTCATCTGAGACTTCCTACAAACACTTACACCGTGCGTATATATTTATTTAAAACTGTACCGTATCTGTTACAGACACTTACTACCGTACATGTTCTGCTGCTTAGTTACCATACAATGCAATTTAAGACTCAAGATGAGGAATTAATGCTACATTATTTTAAAATTCTAATGTGACTCAGCATCACTCTGATGAGGCACTGGTCAACAGACAAATACACCTCCTCTCAGCCACTTCACACCTTGAGGATAGTTGTGTTTATGAATTTGCATATGTGTGGGAGTGTGCAGAATAGGCAGAGAAACACATACACACAAATATAGGAAAGAAAGAAGTGCCTCAAAGCCTTACAGCAGGCACAGTGAGCAGAATACTGATAACAGTCTGATGAATACAGAATATGGATATGAATAAGTCCTCTCTCTCCTGTATGCCTGAACATGTTGATCACTGCAGAGGCTTGTGTATGAATGCTAATATTCTCTCTGTTGGAAGTATAACAGCCGACTTTGTATACAATGCCAATGAGAAGTAAACAACCAAGATGGTTCCCTTGTTTCTGGTTTTTGGGACCAGTGATATCACAAGGGAGCATTTCTTTGGATACAGCATCGTTCCATTTACAATAACATGCACATTTTAATAGCACCATATCCAAACAGTAGGCACAAGAGGTTGACACAGCTACATACATGCCTGCACTATCTAATGCAGCACAGTGTTAGCCCTGTAAATATACTGCCTTTTGAGGCAAATTGTTTTACACTGGTGTTTCTATACAGTATATAAATACAGTATATGTAAACAAGAAGAAAGGAAGTGGTACAAAAAATCATATCAAAACCAGTCTATAAAATGTCTATTGGCTACCAGACTATTTTGTAGTTTTTATAGATAGTATATCCATCCCCATTACTTAACAACATACTAATGAATACATTAACAAGTAATATCTTATAGGAGCCAGTCACCACATGCTGATCTTGATGCTTGTAATCTGTTCCTTTGCTTTTTCTGGTGGTTTCTAAAGGTGCTTTCAAGACTAATCAATAAAACACGGGCTAATACACACTCAAGATGTGTAACTCGCCACACACTCATCATGATTAGAACAGAGCAAAGAGTAATCCATTTGACCACATAACACAGTGTCTATCAAACTCTACAAAACACACACACCATCACAACAGCACCATGTTGATCAGAGGATTGCACCTTCTGATTGTGAATCACCAGGGTGAACAATAACCTCACGTAAATACCTCAAAAGGGGTAGGGGTGTTTGGGGGGTTGTATAAGAGGGAGCTGAAAAGGTAGGGGAAAGAAGAAAGTTAAAGGGGGAACAAAAGAAGATAAATGAAAGAAGAAGGGACGCCGGCGACAACTGCAGAATTAGCAGAGAGGGAGGGTGTGGCTGCCTAAGGGGCTGCAGGGGGGGGGGAAAGGTGAAAGAAGAGGATGGGAGGAGGAGGTGATGAAAAGACAAAGGAGGGAGTGTGTGCACATGTTGGGGTGAATGGGTAAAAAAAAAATAAGAGCGGCAAAGAAACGGGGTGACAAAAAGGGTACTCAAATGGAGGGTAGAGGAGATCAAGCACAGTTGCCATGGCAACAAATGGAAGCTGATGTAGAGGTGAGACGCATGGTGGTCATGATGTACCACAGTGAAGGACACACTGTAAGATGTGCCGTATTTGCTTTGAAGTAATTTGTATATTTTGTAACATGTCACTTTTTAAACTGTTTCTTTTTGAACAATGTACAGGTTGATATTCATTTTTTATAGAATTTTTTAATCTATACATATAACTAATGCAAAATTTGTTAATAAAGCTCAAAACTGATTGATCATAACTTTTTATTTACTCAATTTTTGATCCTCATGCACTTATTGTTTCATATTTATTAGAAAATATGGGGATCTCCTCTAAACTGCGTGTAGGATTATCATTACAAATATTATGATTTGAACCAGACTGACATGTACTGCAGTGAACAGAGCCATGTACAGAGAGGAGGGCGATTAAGTAAGAAAATGACAGGGAGAAATGCAGAGGTGGAGGGAGACATGACAGATGAACAAGAAGGGAGCTGAAGCAAATGTATGTTAGTTTTACGGAAAATACACCTGAGGTTGCAACACTCCTTCACTACAATACATGCACACACATGCAGGAGTATTCATCACTGCTACCTTCAGTCCTCCAGGCATTACAGAGACAACGAAACAACAGCAAAACCAATAATATGGTTAATATCACACTCAAAAAGACAGACTCTGAGATACACCAGGGTTCATCATAATTTGCCTGCAATTCAATTAATCACGGGGATGGACTGCTTTCAAAATGAAAATACTTATAAATGACTTCATATTAATCTATGAAGAAATCGTGAAGAAGAATGGCTATAGTCCCTCTTGATTAGCTACAAATTCAGTTTATATTTGACATTCCAGTAGAAAGACACTGAATTTCCTTGGCACACTCACGCATTTGCACATTCAGATTATGACAAAATGATATCTACACACATACATGCGTTTGTGTATGTAAATACCTGGGGGCTTTACACTGACTTAGATTCATTTCTCGGAGACTTACCCCAACATTAACCATAACCAGTACTTGCCTAATTCTTAACCCTTCACTGTACCCTAACCCTCAAATCAAGTCTCAACCCTTACAGTCCTTTGATGGGGTGCCAGAAAGTGACCCCTGGCTAACACATGGTATGAAACTCAAACTGGTCCTCACAATGTATTGCCATACAAGTACACACATGCACATGCATATGCACTGTACCTATGTGAAGTTTGCGTCAGTATTGAGTAGGAGGCAAACCAGCTTCCTCTCCTCTTCTTTCCCTCCTTCTTCCTCTCTGCTATGTGGATCTCTTAACACAGACTGGCAAGCATCTCTCTCTCTTCCTCTCTTTGTGTCTCTGCCTCCCTCTATCCCACTCTTGCCTCATGCTGCAGTGCAGTCCCACCCCCACGACACAGCAGCTGGAGAAAACCAGGAACCCGGACCCACACGGACATGGATCAGGACTCACCAGTCTAAAGGACAGCTAGGAGTAGTAGCATGATGTAATCCTGAACTCACACACTTGTATAAACACACACACACACACACACACCAACCCAAACAGTGATCATGTACAACCATCTTGATTTAAAAGATACTGTGATTATTGAATTACCACACAAGATACTGTGTTTGGAAACAGATAAGAAAGAAAGCTCCTCTATGTGATCAGCCTCATCCAGCATCAGGGTTAATCGGTGCTTTAATCAGAG